TCTGAACAATGTCATTTAAAGTTCTAAATTTTGATGGAATCTCATTTATCAATTTTTTTCTTTTATACATCATGTTTTTTATATCCTAGGATATTCTTGCCTACCCTAAATTCATAAACATTTTCCCTTATAATTTCTTCTTAAAGTTTTTATAGTTTTAGTCTTTCATATTTAGGTTCATAGATACTTTCAAGTTATTTTTATGTATGGAAATAAAGGGTTGAGGTTAATTTTTTATATACGGGGAACAAAAAGAAGGCATATTCTTACCGAATCAAAATGCAAATAGATAACTTTCTATCTATGTATCAGGAAGCCAGGCCACATCTTTTTTTGTCATAATTAAGATTCTTACATAGGTAACACACTAATCCTTGTGTTTGATTTCTTGTCACTTTCAATTTACATGACATTTCAAACTTGTTAGCTCATCAACTCAAACATGTTGAAAATCAAGGCATCTGCCATTCTCCAGGAGTTATTCTCCTATATAGCTTTCTTATCAAGGTGAGTAAAATATTATCAAGACATCTTATAATACAGATGTAGCTTGTCATCACTTCTATGTCTGTCAAATCTACTTCTTCATCCTTTTTCTTTCATGGCATTCTGTTCCCTTCCATCATCTCCTTACAGCCACAGCCTGGGATCTGGAATCACATTCATCTACTACCCAGGCCTCGATGGGCATCCTGGTGCCAGCACCATTTCCTCCCTGGTGAATCCTAACCTTGTTTCCCTAGTTGGCTTATGAAGATTCTCCTTACACAACTCTGAGGACTTGGCCAACATTCCCAAGCTGTCTCAAAGGCCTCCAGATTCAAGCCATGAAAATTCTTAGAGTTTCCCTTCTGCCTCTGGGATTTTGCTTTCTTGGTTTTCTTATGAATTGTTATAGAAAGGAAATTTATCATTCATAGGTATTACCGAAGAGTATCTGCATGTAGTTTCACTTGCTTAACACATTTGGAATTTAAAATAATGCTGGCATCATCTATGTAGCACTGCTTTAAAAAAACAGCAAACAGACAGGTGTCACTTTTGCCCGTACTTAGAAGACCTTATTTAGAATACCTTCAAAGTAAAATTTTTCCTCCTTTCTGTTTTGTAAGAAAGTTATCCAGCCTTTCATAGGTAATTTGTGGGCACTTAAAATACTAATTGGAGGAAAAAAATGTAGCTCTACCAGCACATCTGTGACCAATATGTCACTAATAATGTGCTCCTTTGCTGAATTTTGGACTCCTTTTTGTCTCTTTCAACAATATCTGCAAAAATGGAAAAAGATTCCTTCCCTTAATGAAAACAAGTATAATTTATTTATTTTTTAATAAGACTCAGAAGTGAGCTGATTAAAAATGCTTAGGAGTTTGAAAGTGCTTGGAAAATATGAAGACCTTTTAAATCGAAATGGATGAGCTGTATTCTATTTTTAAGAAGCTCCTTTATTTCTTAAACTTTATTTCCACCCTGATCCTTCTGAAGTGCTAAAAAAAAAAGTTTGGCTAAATTAAACCCCTGGGGACAAAGAAGTCAGAATTCTTCCTAAATCCAGGGATTCTAGGGATCTAAATCTTTCACCTATATAGGTGAAAGTAGTAACACTGGAAGATGAAATAAATGATGAGAGGGAAGAGTTCTGGCTTTTGCAGCATTAAGTCAATGAATTCTCCAACTCTGAGGCAAAGTCACAGTGTGAGGCATGTTGAAGACTGAGACAGACCACAGGAATCTGGGTTCAAGTGCTGTGCAAATTCAGAACAGGGAGGGGCTGGAGGGAGGGGCGGGGGAGGGGAAGCAGGAAGCAATTCAGAGAGGACAATGTTCACACTCATTTTGCACCAAATGTATGCCAGGCACCAGCACTGTCTCAATTCAGTTCTTCTCAAAAGGAACTACCTAGAGTGTTAGAATGAGCGTGCGAGCGTGCACGTGTGCGCGCGCACACACACACACACCACTGCTGTCAGGTGTCTACCATGAGAATTTCTGATTTTACTGATCTGGGGTACTGTCTGTGTGTCAGATTGCATAAATCTCCAGGAGATTCTTATGTGTGGCTAAGATTGAGAGCCACTGGCCTCATCTTTGATAACCCATCAAGGCAGACACAAGGAGGAGCTTTCTGGTCTCTGTTCATTTCCCACCATGTTCCATCTCATGCCCAAAGGGGAAAATTGTGCATCTCATTGGCTGTAGCTGGAGACACCAGTGAGTGACATCTACCAATAGGCAAGGTGACTGTGACCTGGAATAAGAGCCTCATTCAGAAGGGCATTTCTCTCTCTGACCATGCAGCTTGTGGGTAAACCAAGCCACACAACAGAAATCACAACAGTAACTACCATTCAAATGGGGACGGGGATGGCAGGGCCAATAATATTGTTAAATCAAAAGATGTAGTTCTGAGCATGCTTGTTTATTAGATAACCTCATGCATGACTGATTTAGGGTTCTATTCATGTAGAATAATTATAAGTGTAAGGTAGAAAGTTTTTGCTAAATGTCATCAGTGGCATCTGGCCAAGCTACTTTCTTCTAAATCATTTAGAGCCTTTGCTCTCCAATGTGGCGACTCCAGAACTATCACACTTATATGTTTACTTCCAGGTTCTTGTCCAGCGTTGTCACTTTGATCACAGTACAATTTGCACATGGCCCTGGTTCTTCTGCACAGAACTTTCAGCTGTCTTTTGT